CCCGTCTCCGCGCCTCGCCCGCGGGCTCCCCGGCGGCGAGCGGCCGCGCACCGCCAGGCACTCTGCAGCGAGGTCTTGGAGGCCGCGGCAGCCGCTCTCATGCAGCCAGGGCCTGTCAGGTGCTGCGCCCGCCGCGGCGCCAGCGCACACGCGCTGAGGCCCTGTGCCGCCGCCGCCGCCGCTGCCATGCAGTTGCGAAGGGCTGCTTGGTAACTGCTGCTGCAGCAGGTGGCACTCATAAGCGCTCCCTGGCCTGAATGGCGGTTCCAATATGCCGCCGTCCTCAACGTGGCCGTCACAATGAGGCAGCCGCCTGACTGTCATCAGCCCCAATATCTCCTGAAGCGCCCGCCGCGCCGCCGCCACGCCCGCATGCGTCTGCGCTTCCAGCGCCCCGCCGCCATGCGGCCGCGGCGGCGCGGTAGGCGGCCGCGCAGCGGCGGCGGCGCTTGCTGGACGCCGGTCCAAGGTGCGGGGCGGGCCGCCGGGGCGCGCGGTGGGGGCGGGACTGCAGCTGCACGGCCGCGCAGACGCCTCTTGCTCGGCGATCGCCGCTGCAAACGCGCCGGGTATGCCGGTGCGGGCCCCGGCGCCGCAGCCCCTGTCCACAAAGCGGGACATGTCCACCAAAGATGCGTGCAGCACCGCTCGCATCCGCGCCGTGCGGCCGGGGCTGAATCCCCCCGCAGCTTCCGAGGCCCTTGCCCGTCTGCCAGATGCAGGCACGCCGCCCGTGTGGGTCAGTGCAGCCTCGACCCGCAAAACCTTTGCTTGCAGCGCCCGCAGCTGCGAATCCAGCTGCACGCAGCGCGCCTCGTGGCCGCAGCCGCAGCTGCCGCCGCCTGCGGTGGCCGCGGCGCCGTCGATGCGAATGTTGAGCCGCACGATGTTATTTGATTCATGCAGCACGGCGGCCTCGGCATCGGCCGCCACGCACTGCGTCGCGGCACTGCTCACTGCCAGCTCAGCTTTGTGCCCCGCGGCCAGCGCCGCCGCCTGGGCCTCTGCGAGCAGCTGCTGATCCCTCGGCATGAAAGCGAACGCAACCTCGGATGTCTGGCACGGCAGTGACGCGGCCGACGGCGCCGCCTCGACAGCGGCGTCGGCTCGTTTGACTGCAAACTGCTGCTGCTGTTGTGCTGCCCGATGCTGGGATGCAGTTTCACCACCATCTCCCTGTGGTTGCTCTTGTTGCTGCTTCGGTTGCTGGTCCTGCTGCTGTTGCTCCTGCTGATATTCCAGCTGACCAGATAAGAGCTGGTTCCTCTGAATCTGCTCATCCAGCTCCTGCTTCAGAGCACCCATGACAAGCTCTGCATCAACGACCCGCTGCTGCAAAACCTCCATTGAGCAGCTCTCATCGCCGCCCGGTGCTGTGGCGCCCCGCGCTGGCTTGGATGTGCTGCGCCCTGCCTCCTTCGCCGCCGCCCCGCACTTGCTTGGCGGCCGCTGTTGTGGCTGCTTGCCAGGCGCGCTGCGACTGGGCGTGCTCTGCCTGCGTGCAGATGCTGGGCCGCCAGCGCTCGCTGCAGCCGAGCGCTTGCCACTGGCCTGACCAGCTTTGCTGCTGGCCGACGGGCTGGTGGCAGCGACGAGTTCTGGTTCAAGCGACTCATCACGATCGGCCGCCTGTGAACGCGTAAAGGATGGCTGCGCCAGAGGTGCAGATAAGTCCGACTGAGCGGCTGACGGCTGCTGCCCTGCGCCTGGCATCGCCTTGCGCTGCAGCTGGCTGTTGCTTTGATTTTTCAATACATCGCCGCGCGGCGGACCTGCAGCAGCGGCACCCTCAGTGTGGTCTTCGCTGCTGCCATCGCTGCTGCCGCTGCTGCCTTGCCGCACGATCGTCAGCACCTGCGTGCCCTCGGCCGGCTCGCTGAACACCTCGATGCGCCCTTGCTGCGCCAGCGGGGCCGCCGGGCCGCCCGGGTATGGCGAGTCCCCCTGTTCCTGATGCGAGGCAGCTGCCCTGTCACCGCTGCCCGGGCGCACTGCTGTGTGGGCGCCGCCCAGGGTTGATGATGAGGCCGCCGGCTGGGACTGCCGCAGCTCGTTTTGGGCCTGCGATGGTTGCGGTGCGTTTGAACAATGCACGATGGTAAAGGGAGTTGGCGGGTTGATTATAATAGTAGACTTTTGGCGTTGATGACATCTTCTGTCATGAAGCTCAAGAGCTTATTTTCAGTAACACCTAAGCAGCCACACCAACAGCCCAAAAAGACGAGCAGCTGGGCTGGCCACACACGGCGGCGGCATGCGTCACCAACGCTCACCTGCTGCAGCTGCGCCCTCATTGCCCTGTGCTCGTCCTTTATCTGCCGCAGCAGCTGCAGCTCCGCCAGGTGGCCCGCCTCCCACATGCCCTTTGCCTGACAATACAACACAGCGCCCAAAACGGGGTAGGTGGCAAAAAATTGGAAGGCAGCAACAATAAAATATCCAAGTTTGGGCTGCCCCACGCGGCGCCCGTGTGCCGGCGCCTGACTCAGTACACGCGAGTGCAAGCGGCCGACGAGCGGCGCATGAGACGGGCGGCGCGGGTTTTTTTGTGCTGCGGCTCACCTGCTTTACGCGCCTGTCCACCTCCTCCTCAACCAGGGCCTGCCACGCAGCCCTCAGCTCGGCTGCGATGCTGCGGGGCGGCCCGCCCTGCTGCTGTCTGGCACCGCGCTGCTGCTGCTGCTCCTGCCGCAGCCGATGCTCCTCTTGCTCCTTGTGGCGCCGGCACGTGTGGCGGTGGCAGCGGTGGCGGCGCCCGGGGCTCGCCGCGGGGTGCTGCGGGTCGCTCTGCTCCCCGCCGTCCGAATCGCCGGCCACTGCGTGGCCATGGCACGGGCTACAATGGCGCGAATGATGGTGGCTGTGACGGCCGGATGCAAGGGTTGAGCGCTCGCCGCTGACGATCCACGGCCCGCTGCTATCGTCGTCCACAGCCGCCGCGTCGTCATCGTTTGACGCCCGGGCTCTGCGCACGGGGGCAGCTTGTCATCACGGGTCAAGCATGACACTGCATGATGTCATTATGAGTGGCAACACATGCACAAAATCATCCAGCAGTCTGAGCTCTGGCGGTCGCGCAGCTGCCAAACGGCCATCCAGGCACCTTCTGGGCTGAGGATCCCTACGCTCGTGCAGATTTGCCAGAAGCAAGCCCACGTGGGTGCGTGCCCACACCTGCCAGTGGCCAGCACGCCGTCCGCCCACTCCCGCAGCTCAGAGCAGACCTGCAGCTTCCGCTTGGCCCTGTCAGTGGCCTCCTCGGGCGCCAGCTGCGCGCCGCGGCGCGAGCCTTCGCGCCAGTACCTGCGCAAACGCGCGTGCGCTTTCTTGTATGGCAGAATTCAAGCGGCTGCTGCAGGCGCGCCCCGCTGACTCTGCAGCGGGCCAGCTGTGGGCTACCGGCGCAGCACAGCGAAGCGCTTCGCTGTGCTGCGCCGCTCGGCACAGCGCACAGGCGGAGGCTCGGCCGTTTGAAAAGGCAGCGCACGGCCCCCTGCAGGAGTGATGTTGTGCTGGATGGCCCCAGAAGAGTGCTCACCGCGCCGAGGGGGGCCCATGGCCGCCCAGCACGCGCTCTATTTCCGCCACATCATCGAACTCGCTGAACCGCAAGTCCTCAGCCCTCCCGCCGCCGCCGCAGCCTGCCGCATCCCTTTCGCGTGCTTGCGCCGACGCGCCCGCCCCGCCGATGCCGCGCGTGCTGCCGTCGCTGTCTGAACCGCCGTCATCGCTGCCTTCGCCGGCGGCGCCGCCCCAGCAGCTGCTTGCTGTGTGGGCGGGTGGGCCATGGTCGTCGGCCTCGGCGGCGCCGGCGGGCTGCTCGTCTTGGTTGAGGACCCGGCCCCGGACGACGCGGCGCTTGGCTTCCTGCCTGCTCCATGATAAGCCCGCCAGTCAGCGGGGGACAGCAGGGGGATCCAACTTTTGTGCGGTTTCCGAGGTTGGGGAGTGCTGCCACTCGGGTGGCCTCAAGGTGCGGCTGCGCAGGCAACAATTTTTGGTTGCATGATGTCACTGCGCCTCTTATCATTCCGCATCAGGCAATTTGGTGCAGTCCTCACCCCTGCGGCTGCGCACCTGTCCATCACATCCCCCAAAACTTTCAGCAGCATCAGCTCCCCCCCGCCCCCGGCCGCCAGCGCGCCCGGCGGCGGCTGCAGCGCCCCGGGCCCCAGCGAGGGGCGCGGCGTGACGAACAGCAGGGGCGGGCCCGCAATGCTGCCGGATCGGCTCCGCAGGGCGACAGAGCTCAGCGCACGGCGGGCCGCGGCGCCCCATAGGCGGCTCGAGGCCCACGACACCGCCCGCTGCGGCCCCGCTGCAGCCTGAGGGGACGCCACGGTTGACTGCGGGTCGGACCCGCATGGTGACGGGGCCGCTAGCGACGGACGTGCAGCAGTAGTGCTGGTGGCCATAGCTGCGATCGCGCCGCTCTCGCCAGTCTCATGCTCGACCGGCACTGTCAATGTCTGCTCCTGCCGCACCAGCGGTGTCAGCACGTGCTGGCGCTGCAAGGGCGCGGTGTTGTGTACGTGCACCGCAGCTAGTCAAATGGCCGCATAGGTTCACATGAAAGTCATGCTAGGGGTGCTTATGTGTACGAGCGCTGTCGTTCGAAAAGCTTTGACGTGGGTTTGAACACTGATGTAGAAGTGTTTGTTCGCAGATCATGGGTATGAATACATTTATTGGAAACAAGCTCGCAACAACACCAGGCGATTGCACTGATCTGCTGCAGCGTCCGAGTGCTAAATGCAGGCTTGTTGGAGCAGGTGCGGAGCATCAGGATTGTGAAGCTTGGCCCACGCATAATCCATGCGAATGCAGCTGTGCAGCCTGAAGCTCCGTGATTGGCGGCGCACCTGGGTGCAGCTCGAGGTGCCGCACGTGTCACCGGCAGCGAGCGCGATGCGGGCCGCTGCCATGCCTGCGCACGCAGGGCCCTCTCTGCGAGAGTGACGCCCGCTCGCTGGGCGCGGTCACGGAGTCGTTGCCGCAGCATGCGGGCGCATGCGGGCGCCGCTGACGGGGCCACCGTCCGCTTCGCAGTCGGTGAGCCCCCGCGCACGACCCTTTCGCCCCACCTGTCCATCGGCCGCCCCTGGCCTTTCCGCGCCTAAGTCCGCATCGCTGACAGCTCGCACGCCGATAGGCAGCATGACGCGGCCGTTTGATCACGTCAAAGCCCCCCAGCCACCAAGTCAACGCGCCCCCTCTCTCGCCCCTGCGACGCGCCCCCGCCGCCCTCATGCAATCCAACATGCAACGCGTAATCCAGTCGGCGACGCCCACGAGCGCTGGAGCAACGACGCCGACGGCGCCGCGCTGCGCGTGCTGGGCGTTGACCATGCGATCTGGGTGGGCGACATCGGCAATAGCGAGAACCTCCAGCTCGTGCAGCAGATCGCTGAGCTGGACCATCCGAAATCAGTCATGCTCGGGAATCACGGTGCGGAGCTCGAGGTCTTGATCCAAGGCGGCGCTCTGCCCAACGCATCGGCGCGGACCGGGCTTTGCCGCGGGCGCAGGGCCGCGCTTCTTTGCGCATGGGGCCGCCTCATGCAGAGTGGCGGGCCGGGCGGCTGGGCGGCAGGTCCGGCCTCATGTGATGCCGCGGGGGCGGCCGCAGCTGGGCGGCTGGGGGACGCGGGCGCGATTCTGGATGGGTTCCGGTGGTCGCAGACGCAGACACTCCGCCCTCCCACCTTCCTTCAACCCAGTACATGGCTGGCCCTGAATGCATTCCGCACCCACCCTGGCCCCCACCCAGACGCCTGGACGCAGCTCAGCTCCCGCCGCCACACCGCCAGCCCGAAGCGCATGCGCGTGACTTCAGCCCCCGCCGACGCGCTGCGCGAAGAGCAGCTCTGCGCCCCCGCCGGCGTCGCCGGCGCGGGCACGGGGCGCGGGCCTGTGCAGCTGCAGCTTGAGGCGCTTGGTGACCTGTTTGTCGGCTACAAAGAGGCCCCGCTCGACGGCAGGGGCGTGACGGTGGTGGGCGGGCGGCCCTTCTCGAAAGTGAGCTGTGCCGGGCTGCTCGGGCGCGTGATGGCGTGATGACGCGGCTGTTTGTATCTTGCCGTGGCAGGAGGAGGGGAAGGTGAAGTGGAGGCCTGCGCAAGCCAGCCGGTGTCGAGCAAGGGTGGCATCACAGGCGTTTCCCGCTCTCGCTCGCCCCCGGCTGGGGATGTGGCAGCAAGGGTCAAGGCGGCCGGACCCAACCGCAAACGCAGCGCGTCGCGGGTGGGGCGGCGCGGAACGCGGGGCCGCGCCTCGCGCGGGGCGCCCCCTCCTCCTCCTGACGTTGCGGATTGCACGCGCGGCACACACCGCCCCAGGGGGGCGGCAGCTGGTCGTCCATATCTGTCTTCATGGCGGCAGTCTGCGGCGTGGACAGCCTGGAGGCCTCCGCGGAGAAAATCGCCGCGGTGGCGCGCCCCGCGGCGGAGCGCGGGGACGCTGTCGTGCTGGTGGCGCACAACGGCCCCGCGGGGCTGGGGGCGCGGCGGCAGGATATATGTGGCGTCGACTGGAGGTGGGGGCTCGCTGTTGCGGGGGAGGGGGCGCCTGCTGAGCCGTTTCAGCTCCGTTTGTGCGCACTGCAGGGTGAAATCAAAGGTCTACACCAGAAACGGATAATTGGCTCGGGCGCCTGAGGCTCGCCCCCCACCCCAAAAGCCCACCCTGCTCCCCACCTCGCCCACGCCGATCGCCTGCTTCCTTCCCCCCAACCCGTCCCTTCACCACCCTCCGCCGCCGCTGCCCCGGCTGATTCCACCCCATCGTCACCCCGACGCCACCCTGATGTCACCCTGTCGTCACCCTGATGTCACCCTGACGTCAGTAGGAAGGAGCAGGGTGACCACGGTGACCCTGACCTGGCGGCTGCCCTGGAGCAGATGCGGCTGGAAGGCCGCCCCCCCGCGGCTGTCGTCTTCGGGCACATGCACCACACACTGCGAGGTGCGCAAGAGTAGAATAGAGTAGGGTAGACGGGGCGCTGGGCACCCGGTCTGCTTTAAAAACGGGTGCGAGGCTCGGGGCAACCGCCCGTCCCCCCCACAGCCCCACTGGTACACACACTGCGAGGTGTGCGTGCTTCGATGCAGGCGCGTGCATATGCTCGGGGTCCTGTGCGCGCGCTTGCGGCTGAGTTGGCGAGCCGTGCGTGACACCGCGCAAGACGTGCTGCCTTCTGCAGAGTCGTGCTGGTGTGACTTTTGGGTCGTGCAACTGTTCCTGTTGCTGGCTGCCCTCACTCCCCGCTCACTCTGCAAAACCACCCCTGTTTGTTGCACCCCGCACCATAGCACAAGCGACCCACCCCCTGGCCCGCCCCTCACAAACCCCGACCCTCGGAACGGCAGGCGGCGGCCTGCGGCGCATGGTGCACGTCGACCCTGAGACCGGCACCGCCTTCCTCAACGCCGCGACCGTGCCGCGGGTGACCAAGGTGCCCGGCGCCCCCAATGCGACGCTCCACCACTTCCTGGTGTTCGACGTGCGCGCCGGCGCGGTCGAGTCCGCGCGGGACGTCTGGGTCCGCGTCACGCGGCGCGGGGCGGCGGCGGCGGCGAAAAACGGCGGGGGAGCCGGTGAGGCGGTCGATGCTGCGGTGGAGACAGAGACAGAGGTGCTGCGGACCGTGTGGGGTGATGAGGGCACCGCGAGGGTGGTGTGGGATGCGTCGGAGCAGCGGTGGGACCACGTCATTGCGGGCGGCGGCGGGGACGGGGGTGGGGATGGGGACGGACGAGACGGCGTGGCAGCGGCGGGCAACGGGTTGGGTTCTGCGCGGGCGGTGCGGTCGTGAAAATGCGGGATGCAATTCTTAGCGATCACTGCCTCAATTTGTTGTGAGCTGCCTTGGATTTGCAAACAGTCCTTGTTATCATTTTGTGAGCGCGGGCTTGTGAGCGCGGGCAATCTTGTTCAAGTTGGCCTTGCCCATTCATGCAACACCTTGTGAGTCCCTCATTCACAACCGTGCCGCTCCTAAAAGTGGTATCAGCTACATTTTTCCCTTGTGTATGTGCACCATGCTGGCCCTCACTGCCTGACTTGCTGTTTTGCAGACTGCAAACCCCAGCCCTTCAAACCCAGCCTTTCAGCAGGGGCCCGTCGTCCGCAGCTCAATTGATGGAAGCGGTGCGGCGAGTAATGAAGTAATTGTAATTTGCATGGAATCCATCAGGCCGATCACAAACAACTCGGGTTTACCAGCGGCAAGCAATGCCCGAGTCGAGCACAGCTAAACCGTGAGCACATCAAGCTGCCCCCGCGGGCGAACTGCCAAGCAAGCGGCCCCAAACCTGGCAGGTTTGTACAGCAGTACAAAGGAAAGCTGCCATGTGGGGGAAAACCAACCGCCGCTGTACTGCTGTACAGTTGAACAGCGCGGTCACCGGGAACCGTACCGCTTGATGGGATCCGCCTGTGACCCGAGCCGCGAGCCGACGCGGTACTTGTCGTACCGCACCTGAGGGCGGATGGATGGCCGGCGGATTTCAGCGGTTTGATGGCTGGACGGTTGCCGGCGCCGCGGCTGGGCAGTGAAGGGGATGCAGCAGCTGCGCTGCGACGAGCAGACGCGCCGGGCTCTCGCGACTTGAGCGGCGGCGGCTGCACATGGGGCCGGGCTCGCACGCAGCCCCAGGTCGATGTTGCATCCCCCCCTCCAAAAACACCCAAACACCATCTGCCACGAGCTGTGAGCTTCATGCGCTGGCCACGCACGAACCCCTTGCCTCCTCACACCACCCCAGGCACGCATGCCCGCGCGCGTGCGCGCGCGCGCGCACACACACACACACACACACACACACACACACACACACACACACACACACACACACACACACACAGGCACACGCACACACACACGCGCGCATGCGCGCGTGTGCGCGCTCAACACACGCACGCAACACACACAGAGGCGTGCACACACACGGAGGCGCCAACACACATGTGTGTGCGAGTGTACAGACGCACCTGCCGCGCGTAGTTGTTGTCCTTCAGGCCCAGCTTGTGGATCACATAGCAGAAAGATTCAAAGTCCGTGCGCCGCAGGTACACCAGCAGGGCGCGCCGCTGGTTGAGCATGGCCTGCAGGCCCCTGCGCAGTGCGTTATGGAGCCGTTCCCGGGGCAGGGCGGCGCAGGGGCGATGATGAGGGCGGCGCGGCAAGGCGAGCTGGGGCTGCAGACGTGGCGCGCTGGGAGCCCAGCGGCGTTTGACGGCGATCCTTCCCCTCCTCAGATCCGAGCTGCGCTGACAGAGCGGATGATGTCACTCCCATATGTGAGTCGCCCCGTCGGCCCGGCTTGCTTCTGCCCCTCTCACGCCTCTGACTGCGACCTCTCCCCCCCTATGACGCCACGCCGTCCCCGCCCTGCACCGTGCGACAC